TTTTTTTTTTCATTTAAATTATTTCTCAATTATCAGATGCTTTCTCAAGTAAATTGGTACAAAAGAAAAGAAAAATCAGTTGTAAATTTTTCAGTCTTCACATTTTATAAGCCCCACGGGCTCGTGCAAATTTGTTATCTGAGAAATCTCCTCGTGTTCAATTATACCAAATTTCACTTAGAATCCTGTGTTTACTCATCCTCACAGAGGGCTTTTTTCCCCGTGCGTTTGTAATACAAAATTTTCAGTCGAGAATTTACCATACCTTCTTTGTGAAGGTAGAGGCTGAAATCTGTATACTATTTATAAACGCGATGTACAGACATTACTTTCGCAAAGATTATGCTGAGCGAGTAGTAAGTACTTTATAGAGTAACTCTAGCAGTGAATATAACACTTCAATAAGCAGATAGTTTGAACATGAACGTGCATTTAATAATTTATGTAAAATACTTCAATATTGTGCTTAAACAAAGCTTCCCTGGACATTAACTAAAAAACTTACCAATGAGTTCTACTGTTGAGGAATACTAGCCCCTAATCTTAAATAGATCTTAATGTTTTATCTGCTAATTGTTGGCTGAAGAAAATCTTCTATTGTAATTATCTATCTCGTTTAAGCAATTCGATAAAGACTTTCTTCCAAATAAAGCAAGCTTTTTGCAGTATGGTTGAAAAACGAATGTGTAGTGTATCTTTTAAGGGAGATTAGGGGAGCCTCTGCCAGCAGAGTAGGTTTACACGACAATAGTTGGTAAAGGTGGTAAACGAATGCCATTTGCGTGCTTTAATAGTGTTGGACATGCAAACTTTTCTGTGGTTAGGCATGATCGCATGTTTCCATCGATCAAGAGCTGGCCCAGTTTTATTACCAATGGCACGATAGGAGGGTACTGAGTGAAAGAAAATTGCTCTTGAAAAATGAGAGCTTTCTTTTTTTTTCCTTCTTTTTTGTACTTCAGTTCGATCCCATTGCAAAGACAAAGTACAGAATAAAACTGGTCTACCAAAAATACATTTAATAGGACATTTAGCACTGATCACGCTAAAAAAATATTGAATGAATAGATATTTAAGGGCTGAAAGACATTACAAATGCAAACAATGAACAAAACAGAACTCTCTCCTTTCAAGTCAGTCTCTTTAGAATTGTCACACAACAGGTCACGCCATTACCCTTTTCCAAGCCTTGCGTGAGCAGTCCCATAGGGGGGCTGTGGAAGAGAAAGAAAAATTTCAAAATAAATATTTGGCTTTCCAACTTAATAGAAGTTGAGTTGCCAGACTACAAAAATATCTGGTGCGCATTTGAGGCATAGTATACAACAACTGGCGGGACCCCTCCCAGCCTTGCAATAAAGGTGACGTATGGACCAAACTGTACATTCTGAGTAGCCGCCTCCTGGTTAGCTCAATGGATAGAGCGCTGGACTGTTGTGCGGGAGGTCGAGGGTTCGAGCCCCGGCCG